CCTGGAGGTGGAGTTAGAGGCAGTTGTGAGCTACCTGATGTGGGTGTTGGGAATCAAACTCAGATCCTTTGCAAGAGCAGTGCATGCTCTTAACCACTGAACCATCTCTGGGGACCTCGCTCACAGTTCTTTATTTCAGCAAATTGAGTGTGACATGCCCTTCACCATGCCATCATTTTCATGCCTGACTTCTGTGGCACCAAGTGTGTTCACACTGCTGTCCAACAATGTCTGTGCCCACCTGCACCTGGGTCTGCAGGCTGAGATGCTGTATCACCATGTCTTCATCCCGAGTCCCCGTACCAGTCTTGGGGTGGCTACCTTGCTCTGTCCCATCTCTGCAGCACTAACGGTGCCTGGCACTCTGCCATGTGCCTTACTGGTTCCTGCTGTGTTATGTTCATATCTGCTCTTCTTTTGGACTGGGGACAGTTTCACAGTCTGCTTTATTCCTATCCTTGGTTCAATCACTGATTCCCCAGCCGCTTGGCTTCCTTTTTCTTTGGCATCTCTAAGGTAAATCCTTATTGCTTTCCTGCGGCTGCTGGGTTCTCACAGTACTAAACACTGCAAGCCTGGAATTAAGGCCCATAGGGCTGTGCTCAAGGAGGGCATTTGTCCCTTGTCTTTATCGCCTCCTGGTAGATGTCTGCATGTTTAGGCTTGTGGCCACATTACCCCCACAGTTGCCTCAAGCCACTTGTTTCTTATACCTTCCTTCCTTTCCTTATTTTTTCCTGTTTGTCTGATTTTTGTCTTTCTTGATTCCCTTCCTTCCCTTCCTTCCTTTTTTTTTCCTTTCTTTCTTTCTGAGACAGGGTCTCAGTATTTAGTCCTGGCTGACTTGGAACTCACTATATATACCAGGCTGGCCTCGGGCTTACAGAGATCTGCCTGCTTCTGCCCCCTTTCAAGTGCTAGGATTAAAGGTATGTGCCACCCCACCTCACCCTCTAGTTCTTTCTCTGAACCCTCTTCCTGGGTTTCCTGTAAGAACACTTGCCATGGGATTTATAACTGCCCCCATTACCTGAACCTATTTCATGTCATGCTCCCTAACTAGGAAATGGGGGGATAGCACAGTTGCCAAAGTATGTGCTGTTTTGTTTTTTGTTTGTTTTGTTTTGTTTTGAGACAGGGTTTCTCTGTGTAACTTTGGAGCCTGTCCTGGAACTAACTCTGTAGACCAGGCTGTCCTCGGACTCACAGAGATCCACCCACCTCTGTCTCTCAAGTGCTGGGATTAAAAGTGTGCACCACCACTGTCCGATTAAGTTATGTGCTTTGTAAGTGCAAGGACCTGAGTTTGGTCCCCAGAACCTGTATAAAAACGCTAAGTGTGATGGTGCGTATTCGTTTTCTGTTGCTCTCACAGAATACTTGCGGTTGGGTGATCCATAAAGAATGAAGGAAGGTTTGTTTCTTACAGTTCTGGAAGCTGGGGAATCCAGGGTGAAGGGGACTTCACCCCTGGGTGGAAGGCAGGTGGGTAAAGGGAGCAACAGGCCTTGGGGAGGCAGCCTCGAGCGCTTTTATAATGGTCGTGCATCTGCTCATGGAGTTGAGCTCCAATGACCTAACACTTTTTATTAGGTCTCTATTCCAGCACCTGCATGGGGGATCAAGTTTCCAGTTTATGGGATTCCAGGACAAACTCAGCCCAAAGCAGAGCTCCTGCCTTTGGCTTTCACCACAGTGCCAGCAGGCTGTGAGGGAGTCTGTACCTTCAGGTCACTTTAAAGAGAAAGGTCTCTGTGTTATTCCTTGGAAACTACAGCTCCCAGACTTCTCCTGGATTACCGTCACCTGTGTGCGCGCTGGCCGCGCCCAGGTGAAGGCCATTCCTCCCAGATAACCTTGCGCCCCCCCCCCCCCCCGTTAAAAGCGAAGGTCCACGAGGCTTTGCTCTCTTGGCCCCTCTCTTGGCCCTTTTCCCCCCTACCCTTGTGTGTCTGCACGTCCCACCCCTTACTGTGTTCCCCTCTCCCCATTAAAGCGCACCCACGTGGGAGCCGCGTGTCCTGCCTCTTCCTTTTGCGTCTCGTCCATCCTGTGTTTGTCCACACACCCACGCCCGCCGCCATTTTTAAAGGAATAATACTCTGGGTGTGAAATTCCAGGTGGACAGGGTTTCATTTTTCTTGTTTTATTTTTAAGGTTTACTTTATTTTCAACTATGGGTATTCCTGTGTGAGTATGTGCCTATGAAAGCAGTGCCTGCAGAGGCCAGAAGAGGGCGCCAGATTCCCCCAGAGACAGAATCACAGTCTTTTGTGAGCTACCTTGCACAGGTGCCGAGAGTCTAGAACCCAGGTTTTCTAGAAGAGCAGCCACAGAGCCACCTCTCCACCCAACTTATTCATTTATTTAGTATTTATTTTCACCTTTTTGGTCCTCTTCATTCTTTGTGGTTCTTTTTAAATATATTTCACATTCATGGGTGTTTTTGCATGCATGTACATTTGTGTGAGGGTGTTGGATGCCCTGGAACTGGAGTTGCAGACAGCTGTAAGCTGCCAAGTGGATGCTAGGAATTGAACCCAGGTCCTCTGGAAGAGCAGCCAGTGCTCTTAACCACAGAGTGTTCTCAGTTCTCTTGAGTCATCTCCCCATCCCCTTTGCTCTTTCTTTACATTTTATTTCTTCTAGCTTTGAAACTTTGCAGTGAGAAATTGACCACACCTTCCCTCTTGCCCACTGAATCTTTTTCTATTTGGCTGTTTTATGTGATTTTTTTAAAAAATTTATCTCTGTTTTGTTGTTGTTGTTTTGTTTTTTGTTTTTTGAAACAGGGTTTCTCTGTGTGTAGCTCTGGCTGTCCTGGAACTTACGCTGTAGACCAGGCTGGCCTTGAACTCAGAGATCTGCCTACCTCTACCTCTCCAGTGCTGGGATTAAAGATCCCACCACTGCCCAGTTTATCCCTGTTTTTGAGTAAGGTAACTTTGAAGAGTCTTAGCACGAGTTTGTACATTTGTCTTGTGTTTTGAGTTTGTGAAGAATTTTGGCTTTGTGGGTTTTTGATTTTTATTAAATTTGGAAAGACTTTAACCATTATGTATGCAAACTGTTTTTTCCTGTTCCCTTCTCTCTGACCCTTCCTGAATCCCAGGTTAAGTGACGTTTGATGCTGTCACATGCGAATGCTGTAGTTTTGTTTTTTCCTTTCTCTTCTGGTTGCTGGGGATCAAAGTGAAGGAATCCGACCTGCTGGGCTCGCCCTCTGCAGCTGTAGCTGGGCTAGCGCTCCGTCTGCACTGCAGCGCAGTGGCGCCTTCGCTTCCTGTCAGCCTTTCTTTTGTTTGCAAGTTCATCCATCAATCGATCCATCGATCGCTCCTCTCCAGCACCGTCTCCTTTGCTTTTATCTCCATTGTGTTTCCAACCTCGGACGCCTCGCTCTGTCACCTTGGGAATTCATTTAGGTCATGTAAAATAACTCCCAGTTCCCGCCACGCTGTCTTCTACCTTCTGCACATCTGAGGCCTATTATGTTTGTGTTTAAACACTTCCGTCTAGTGATCCGTCATTTATGCTTGTGTTTAGACACTACCATCTACTCTGTGCTACTTCTGGGATTCTTTCCTTTGACCGGTTCTTCTCCTGATTATGACATATGTTTGTCTTGTAAAAAGAATTTGCATGCCATCCCGGATTAATGTAGATCCTTGAGCACTGGTTTTCTTTTGCAGTAGTTCTTGTGAGATGACTGCGTGATTGAAAAGCACCTGGTTGGTATCTGGGTTCAATCCCTTGGGACCTGCATGGTAGGAAGAGAAAACTAAGTCCCAAAAGTTGTCCTCTGACCTCCACATAGGTGTGGTGGCAAGCACATGGTCACTGTCAACTAAATAAAAATGCAACAGAGTATTTCTCTTTTTAAAGATTTGTTTATTTGTGGGCTGGAGAGATGGCTTAGTGGTTAAGAGCATTGCTCTCCTAGAGGACCCAGGTTCGGTTCCCAGCACACATATAGGGGCTCACAATTGTCTGTAACTCCAGTTCTGGGAAATTGAAATCCTCACACAGACATACATGCAGGCAAAACACCAATGCACACAAAATAAAAACGAAGCATTTAAAAAGATTCATTTATTTTATTTTATGCGTAGGGATGCTTTACATGCATCTATGTCTGTGTGTTTATGTGTATTTATATATGTCTACGCTTTACGTACATATACGTGTGTGTACCACATGCATGCCTGATGCCCACAGAGGCCACAAAAGGTTGCTGGATTCCCTGAAACTGTAGTTATAGATGGTCGTGAGCTGCCATGTGGGTGCTAGGAATCAAACCTGAGTCATCTGCAAGAGCAACAAGTGCTCTTAACCCCTCTAAAATATTTATTTACATGCATTTGAGATTCAGTTAAGTTACTGGGAGTCCATTCGATCTGTGGGGTGCAGGTCTCAAGCCCAGTGCCTCCTGCTTTCCGGGTACTGAGTCATACCTTCACTTTCATCTGGCCCTTGGAGACATAACAGAAGCCTGTAAGGTGGGTCCGGAGCTCAGGGGCCTCACCACTGAGGCAGTACAGACCCTCCCTGTGTTGGTGATGACAGGCAGTCTAGCCTGATCTTGGAGGCTGTGTCATCTCTTCTTGCTGGTGGCTCCTTTCTGAGCAGAACACACCAGGGAGCTCTCTCCCTGACCCGTGTGATGAAGGACGGTGTTGGCCAACCTCCCTCTTCTCCCTGCAGTTCCCACTTCCGGTGCTCTGACCCACAGATTCTGGGGGCCTCGATGTTCTTGCATATAAGCCCCGCCCCTCCTCCTGGGTCTCTGCCTGGGTCCAGCCGCAATTCGGCAGGCTCCTCTCGTTCTGCTTTCCTGGAGGAGGGATTGTTGGTTCCCGCCTTCCGTGTTCCCACGCCTTCAGTTCCCCTGCCTGACCGGTCCCACCCCTCCCCCACGAGGGCCACTGTCTCAGCTTAGCGCTAGCCTGTATTTCTTCTTTCTAGTGTCTTTCTTCGGGTGCTGTTTACTTCTTATTTATTGTTTTTACACAGCCTCTTATTGGTCAGGGTCTCAACAAGTAGGCTAGGTTGGCTGCCCGGGGAGCCTAGAGACGTGCCAGTGCATGCGCACCGCCGCACCAGCCTTTCGAGGGTAGACTCGTGCAAGTGGGGTTTGTGCCCACTAGTTTTATGTCATCTTGGCACAAGGGACAGAAGCTAGAGTCATTGGAGAGGATACACCCACCAGAGTGGCCTGTGGTGCATTTTCTTAAGGATGACTGGTGCGGAGGGCGGAACGCACTGTGGGCGGTGCCACCCCTTGGCTGGTGTATTCCGGGTGTTAGGAGAAAGCAGGCTGAGCAAGCCATGGGGACCAAGCAGGTAAGCAGTGTTTCTCCATGGTATCTGCTTCCAGGTTCCTCTTGAGTTCCTGCCCTGACTTGCCTAATCTTAAGTACACCCTTTCCTCAAGTTTGCTTGCTCATGGTGTTTTTGAAACCCTAAGGCAGGTTTGAACTCAGGTCATTATGTTAGTAAGGCCAAGGCTTTAACAACTGAGCCATCTCCCTGTCTCCATGATGGACCATCTTTAACTGTGTGGTTCATTCAAGTCCCTGAAGGACCCTCTCTGTATGGAAACTGTCCTATTAGGTGGCGACTCCACCCCTCCACCCCCCACCCCCACCCCTTGGCAACCACCAGGTTACTTCCTCTTGGCTCAATTCAGAGGCTAGATTCTGTTGGGTGCCATTCAAACCCCTCACCTCCAAGTCGGAGCCTGCTCTCCCCAACACTGCCTCTGACCTCCCTGCCTTGCTCTCTTTGATCTACCTGGTGACATCATCCCCCATACTTGAGATCAGCAGCCCATTCTTCCAGGGTCTGGGTACCAAATCCCCGTGCTTCCCTTCAGCTCACCCTACCTTCTCACCCCTCACCCCTGCGCCCACTCCCCCCCCCCCAAGTCCAGATCACTGGTCTCCCTGCTTTATCCTCTCTGACTGCAGTTCTCAGACAGCCCGAGTGACCCTGTTTCACTGGCCTCTTTGAAAGCTGTTCTAACCCTCTGGGCACAGTGGGAGCCGCTGATTCACAGTCTGGTTTTCCTCGTGCCTCCCTCCTGCCTCCGTTAGTGCCTGGCATCCCCAAGCTCTCTCCAGCATGCCTGATGTCATCTCTGCCCAAGAGGCCCTATGCCATCTAGGCAGAAACACACCATCCCCCGAGGGCGTGGGGGTATCCCCGGAGCTTGGGAATGGATGCTTGGGTTGGGGGGTGAGAGGAGAGAAGCTCTTCCCATGCTTGCTCTGCGCAGTCCAGAGGCTACTCGTGCCTCCTTCATGGCATGAAATCCGACTCCAGTTGCAACTGCTGTTGAAGACGAAGCTGGAAGCAGGATAATTATAGTGGGCTGAACAGGAAGATGGGAAGCCGGCCAGGGCTAGAGAGGAGCTGGCAGCCCCGGTGGGGCATGCGAACAGCTTCAGAGTGCCGGGAAATGCCTCGAAGGCCGGGGTGCCTCGGAGTTGAGCCGATTCCCAAAATAATCCAGGGGCAGCTGTCTCAGCTTCTGAAACTGGGTCTGTCCGGGGGAGCCGCGGGAGCCCCCGGCCCCACGCTAGCCCCGCTCTGGGAACAGATGGTGTTAGTGAGTTTCCTTTCTTTTACCAAAGTCAGCTGGTGAGGAACAGCTTGTCTGCTGAAGTGTTGCCCACTCCCCACTCTTTTGGCTACAGATCAAAGTCGCCCTTCCCCCACGGTCTCCGGTTCCTTTCCTTATAAGTCTTGTGCAGCTCCTTCCATTCCAGAAGGGTCCCCGCAGAGTCCTCACCAGCTGGGGGGCGCTAGCCTAGGGGAGCATCCTGGCCTCCTCTGTCAGTGGAGTCTTGCTTGAGATGGGGCCTCAGATTCTGAAGAGGTTCCTGTGAACCTCTTAGGTGGAGAGCAGACAAGGAGGATACCCCAGAAATGAATCTTTCAAGGACGGCTCACCGCCACCCCCCCATCACCTGGCTGGCCAACAATTACCTGGATTCTTTCATTCACCCACATGCCTATCATACTGATTGACAGCTGAAAAAATAGGACTCACCACTCAAGAGCCTTCTCCATCTAAACTGTCAATAGGTCTTGCTGTGTGTGCTTTCTGTGTGCAAGGCTTGGAGCAGGGAGGGGGTAGAGCCACTGTAGTCTGAGGAGCTCGGGGCCCACTGCTTGGCCTGCTGGTTTGGATATGCTTGGGCCAGCTTTTGCCACGTTACCCCTGCATACATCCTTCCCATACATGAGACTTCTGAGTAGATCGTTCACCTCCCTGGGTCTCGGAGTCCTTTTCTGTTAAGTGGAAGCAAGAAGGAATCTGCTATTCATGTTTTGTGAAAATTACAAAGAGAATCCATCTAAAGAGCCTGAAGTATGACTAGGCCTATGACACTCAGTAAAGTATTGTATGACGTCATTATCACCATCACCACTTCTCTCAAAGACAGTGCTGGCAGTCCCCGCCTCCATCCTAGTGACACACCGTGACATGAGGTATGTGAGTCTGGAGCCTGGTTCACAGTTGGCATTCAGGGCCAAGAACAGAGAAGCATCCTATGCCTCCTTGTCCCAGTCTTGCCTGTGGACACAGTGTAATTAATACTTGGTAGAAGACACAGTGATGATGACCTCTTACATCTTCCAGGTCAGGCAGATCAGTACATGCTACCTTACCTCCCAGACTCCAATGTCTGAGACCCCAGCACCCCAGGATGCCAGTGTTGAAGCAGGAACCGACTCCTGGCACTTCCCTGACCCCTGGGTTGGAGCTGTAGGCTCCTCAGCTCAGCCAAGGAAATGGGGACAAAGGAGTCGACTGCTCTTGTTCTTCCCTGTTCTGCTGTCTAGAGGGAGAGGTGGCAGTGTAAAGCAGGAAGGCCGGGCCCCATCTCCAACTGGGCCTCTTAACAGCCATGTGCTCTTGGGTAAATCATGGCCTGTCTCTGAACTGGCGTTTCCTTAAGTCACAAATGGGGATGATCCTCCCTGTTTGGGTTAAATAGCAGGGAAGGAGCTGACAGAGCAACCAAGAAAATGATGGATCGTGTGTGTTTGAGCTGGGCAGTGTGCTAGACAAAGGCCACAGCCAGCTTTGGCTTGATCCTCCCCTTCCATCAGCAGCCACACCCTGGACAGGCTGGATACCTACCAATCCCCTTTCTTCCTCCCCCTGAGCTTGCACTGGACTACGTTACCCAGCCTCCTTTGCAATCTGATGTAGCCCAGCAAAGCCTAGTCAATAGAGAAGAATAAAGTGAGATGCAGGCTTGTGAGTCTGGTTCTGGCTGACGCTTGGGCTCTCTGATGCTCAGGGGAGGCGATCCAACATGGCAGTCTTGGAGGTTGTGTGTTCAAGGTGGTGAGGTCACACACGGAAGCACCAGGGAGCAGGGCCTGGCAGTCAGGAGCACCTGTTTCCACCTCTACACTGGCAAGCAACACCCAGACTCACCGTCTGGTGCTTGCTGCAGCAGCTGGTGCACCAAACCTGTGCACCTCCATGAACGGAGACTGCCGTGGCTCCACGTGGCTCCACGTGGCTCCACCACTCACTTCGTTTCTGCCGCAGTCTGGATGTGTTCTTTCTAGAAGCTCCAGCTGCTCCTTTACCAAAATGCCACAGCCATTTTATAGTCTTAATTCTTGCTAAGCAGAGACCATTATACCTTCGACAGGAAATCTGTTAGGAGTAGAGAAGAAAGCGCTGGTGATGTCTCCCAGGGTCCCTGGGTGGTTACCTCCATTTCCTTATTATGCGTTCTTGGCTTTGGACCTTGACTCCAGCAGCCGTCTCTGGATCACGGGAATCACTTCTAGCTTTGGTCTTGAAATGGGGCGGTAAGTGTGTCTTAGACTCTGTTATGTGCTCTGTGGCCCGGAAACACAGCCCCATCCATGCTGGGACACTGCCATGTCTCTGGGGGTCTTGGACCAGGACTGGCTCTATCTCCTGGCTTAGTGTGACGTCGCCCTAGAACAGATCAGAGCAGACAGTGAGGACCCGTTGAATGCCTGGACTGGGGCCAGGGGAGGACCATGGGGTGTTCTGACTACACCAGTCTGCTGCTTCCGGTTAGTTGACTTGGTGTGTGTCCTTCTGAGCCACACAGGCGATGCCAGTCCAGCCTGGAGAGGCGGTCGTGGTCTGAGTGGCAGTCAGCTCATCCTATTGTCGAGCCATCTGCTGTTGGCTCAAGAAGAGCGGTTTGGGTGAGTGGCGGGGCTCGGATCCAGGACCACAGGAAGGCGCTGTATGGCCAGCGCTGCCCCATAGCCCAGGGCTCCTTGGAGCGTCTACTACCAGGTCGTTTCTTTGCTGTCTGAGATGTCCTCATCAGTGTAGCAGGTCACACAGCAGCGACGCCCAGCTGTCACACCTCATCCTGCTATCCTAGCGGAAAGGATTTTCCTTCTGCTCTGCTGTATGTCCTCGTGCTCCAGCAGATGTCAGAGTTAGCGCTATAGCCACCATGTTGGCCTAGAACATTCTAGAAGCTTCTCACTTTCCCTCTACCCTAGCTGTGTTTCCATAGAAGCCTGGCTCAGCTTCCTGATAAAGGACCAAACCAGCACTAGGGGCAGCCTGGAACTGTGCTGGAGGCAAAAATACCCGACTCCTTTGCCTCAGGTATTTCGAAAATGTTAAGATTTGGGGTGGGGGAGAAACTGGCATTGCATCACACACCACTGAAACCAGCCATACACCTACCTTATGGGGGAGCACTCTTGTGTATGACCAGTGTCACACGTCTTTCCCATTGTCACACTTGGTGGTGAGAGTATATATAGCAGGTCTCATTTCCAATAGATCAACACCAAAGGACCATCGAGAGATTGTGGACAGCAGAGGGGGCCTGAGGTCCAGCAGGAGATGGAGCCCCACTGGGCTCTGTAAGTAGCAGAGTGGGCCACACTGTCACCTCCAGGATCCAGCCTAGTTCTTCTCTGAGTAAAGACAGAGAATGTCTTGGACCTGGGTTTCCTCAGAGCTCAGATTCAAGACCATCTATGGGCTGACATCACGAACCCAAGGGAGCTATGCCAGAAGCTGGGAAGTTCTAGGCTGTTTAATTTCCAGGCACAAACAGAGAGTTCCCACTCTCTCAAGCACTGGAGAAGGGGAGCCACACATCCCGCCTGGCTGGACTTTAGCTGTGCAATGCATCAAAGGGCATCCTGCCCCTCGCTTTCTGAATACCTCGAGGGAACATTTTACACAACAGCGAGAACCTTCAGACACACTTAGCTCTACAGCTTCTGTGAGAAAGAACAAAATCACACATGAAAATCATCAACCTCAGGCAAAAATACCCTGTGTTTGGTGCAAGGCACAGGATAGT